CCTCATTCCCACACCTCATTCCTGGAGTCTTTCCTAAAGAGGAATCCCTCGTTAACCTCCCGGAGAAGCCTCCAGTGCCCTTCTTGGCCCGATTTTTAGGAGGATCCTAAAAGAGGGAAGGGGCAGGGAAAGGCCTTGGATCATTCTGTGGGAAGAGATTCCGTGCCCACATCCCTTTCTCTTCCCACGCCCTATTCCTCATTCCCACACCCTATCCCTCATTCCCACACCTCATTCCTGGAATCAGGTGAGTCTTTCCTAAACAGAAATCACTCCTTAATCTCCTGAAGGATTCTCCAATGCCCTTCTTGACCTGATTTTTAGGAGGATCCTAAAAGAGGGAAGGGGCAGGGAAAGGCCTTGGATCATTCTGTGGGAAGAGATTCCATGCCCATATCCCTTTCTCTTCCCACACCCTATCCCTCATTCCCACACCTCGTTCCTGGAATCAGGTGAGTCTTTCCCAAAGAAAAATCGCTCCTTAACCTCCCAGAGAAGCCTCCAAGGCCCTTCTTGCCCTGAGTTTTAGGAGGATCCTTCTCCGGCTCCCGACAGATGCTCCATCCATGTCTCCGGATTTCTGAGTTATCCCATCTTTTCCAGTCTGAGTTTTCCTTGATTTCTTGCCAAGGCCCAAATTTCAAATTCCATCCCTGTTTAACGTTGAGCTGCCCTGGTGGAGAGAGCAGGGAAGGAAGGAATCATTCCCTATAAAGTTCTTAAGGATCTCGTTTTCCCGGGAATGAGCCGCTTGACTCTCGCCTCCCTCAATCCCAAAGAATTTCCTGCTCGTGGATGGGAGACTTTGACCCATAATTACTAAAAAAAAAACCCTCAAACCAAGACAAACAAAAAAGCCCCAAACCAAAACAACAAAAAAATCCTCCCCCCCAAAAAAACCAAAACCAAAACAAAACAAAAAAAAAAAAGAAAAAAAGGAAAAAAAAGAAGCCCAAAAAATCACAAAAAACCCAAAAAACCAAAAACAAACAAAAAAAAGCCAAAAAAACCCCCCAAAAAAACCCAAAAAATTCAAAAAAACCCACAAAACCACAAAAACAAAAAAAAAAAATAAAAAAAACCCAAAACAAAACAACAAAAAAATGCATCTTCAGGGCGGGGTGATGCTTCCTGGAAATTTTCTGGAGACAAACCGAATTCCTGGAGATTTTCCTGTTTGGTTTTTCCAAACTTTTCCCATCCTGTCCCGCTTCCCTACAACCCTGACCTTCTCCCAGGTCATTCCCAGTCCCGTTCCAGCAACAAATTGACCACGAGCTCCGAATTTTCCAGGAGCTTTTGGCGTTGGAAAGTGCAACAAAAATGCAAAATTCCTCCCGAGTTATCCCCGGGGTTGGATCCTTCACCATGGAATGTTTATCCTGGTTTTTTTTCCCATGTAGGGATGGAAAGGCGATCCCGGGACCACCGGTGACGCCGGGCAGAAAGGGGCAAAGGTAGGAGGAGATGGGGGGGACATCCCATGGAATTTCCATCCTTGGAGAGATTCCAAAGCTTTCCGGGCTTGGTTCCCATCGAACATCTCAGAATTCCTTGATTTAACACCAACCCCCTGGGATCTTCCTTTATCCTCAGGGATTCCCAGGACTTCCAGGCCTCGCCGGCGCTCCCGGAGCCAAAGGGACCAAGGTGGGATAATCCCTAATTCCCGTTTCCCAGCAGGAAGAACCCACCCAGTTCCGGTGGGACAAATCCCTCTGGGAAGCCCACGAGGAACAGGGAGACAGGGATGTAGAAATTTTAAGGATTCCGGGGAAACTTCTGGATAATCTGGGGCAAAAACTAACCCAGGCCTGGCCTAAATCCCCTCCTGATCCGTGGCTTAGCAACGGCCTGGGCTCAGTCCTAGTTCCTTATTAGTCCTTGCTCTGTAAACAAAGAGATAATGACCCTTAATGAGCTTTTTATGGAAGGTTTTAAAATCTTGGATGAGAAGTCAGGGAGCTGTTGGGGACTGAGCCCGTGGGATGTGGCTTTATTGGCGTTATAATTATAATTATTACTGTTGTTGCTATTAATGTTTTCCTTTGGCTTCGCTCTCCGCTTTTCCTTGTCCTTCTCTCCAGGATGATCCCCGATAATTTCTAATTCCCGACTCTCCCAGTATGTTTAAAAAGAGTCTTTTAGTTTGGAACCTCGGGAAAAATGAGGAAAAATCCCAATTCATCTGCACCCTTGGGATTTATCCTGAACAAGGGAACACTCCCAGGAAACGCAGCAGAAGGAAAAACCCAACCCCCAACCTCCAGCAAGGATGGAAAACAGGGATCTGTGGGAAGGAGGAGGACAGGAGAGACATTGGGAATGATATTTTCCCAAAAAAAATCAGTCAAAGCAACGACAACTCCTTGGAGATCCCAAATCCCGCTGGAGGCAGGAAGGGCATTAAAATTAAAAGGGCATTAAAATTAATATATTAATATTTTATTCATATTTTTAACGGCAGAACTGAAGGCAGGAAGGGCGTTAAAATTAAATGGGCATTAAAATTAATATATTAATATTTTATTCATCTTTTTAATTAATATTTCCCACTCTTTTTTTTCCCCATTAATATTATTTTATTGGTATTTCCCTTGGAATTTTCCCCACCTACTTTCCCGCAGCTGAGCCCGGAGATGGGAGACGACCTAAAACCCGTGGTGATTTAAAATGAGCCGAGTTAAATTAGTCTTAATTAATTCCAGGAGTCTAATTAGTGAAATTAGACCTTAGTTAAATTTAGATCTAAAATTTACGGCCTTAATTAAGGCTTTACCTGCACTTTGATTTTCCCCCTTTAATTATCCTTTTCCTTGCTTTTTCCAGAGACGGTTTTCCCAGTTTTTTGGGGTTTCTATTTGTCCTCACGACCCATCCGCTTCTTTTCCACCCACAGGGAGAAAGGGGAAGTCCTGGAAAACCGGGAATGCCGGGATCGGACGGACGGCACGGAGCAAAGGCGAGTGTCTGGAATTATGGGATCAAAGGGTGGATTTGGGTGGGAAGGGACCTTAAAACTCCCCCAGTTCCAAAAATAAGAGGTTTTCCCAAAAACTTTGCTGTAAATCCACCTCTGCCAAGTGTTTATTCCTTTCAAATTGGGATTATTGGGAATCTGTTCCCATAAATCGATGTGGATCTGGGTGGAGATGTTTGGACACTGGGATGGGGGATTTTCCTCATCTCCACGAGTCAGGTTTCCCATTCCCATCCCCCAGGCTGACCCCAGAAAACTGGGATTCAACCAGGGAATGCTTCTCAACCAGCTTCATCCACCCCCCAGCCCTGCTGGAATTGTCAAGGAATGGGAATTTTTCATGGAATTTTTCCCTCTCCTCAGTGAATAACTCCATGACCCGAAGACAAGGAAATTCCTTGTTCATCCAGGAAATTCCAGCCTTGCCAGGGCCACATCAGCCATGATTTTTTTCTCTTGGCTCCTTCCAGGGGGAACGGGGAGCGGCGGGAAACGCCGGAGCCTCAGGAATTCCGGGGGAGAAAGGAGAAAAGGTTGGTACTTCCTGGCCTTTTTCAGGGAAGAACAAATCCCACATCCATCGGGTTGGGTTACCAAAATTCCCTACTTTTTCCATCCCATTTCTAGAGGGCAGAGGGCAACTGTCTGGAACAGCAAAGGCTGGGAATTCAACTGGAAAAAGCAGGAGAGGGAAATCTCCTTAAATCCGCCCTCTCCCGGTGCACAAAACTCCAGGGGGGTCCTGGTTTTTTTAGGAAAAACCACCTCAAGGCCCCAATTTTGGGGTTTGCAGAGTTTATCCCACCACCATTCCCAGGGTTAAGGGGTTCCCGGGATGCTCCGGGGTGGAAAAAAACGTGGAAGTGGAAAAAGTCTCCAAGCTCCCCTGAGGGAATTCCCACATGGATCCCTCGCCATCGATCTCCCTTCTCCACGTCGCTTCGTTTTCCGTTGAAAAGATTGGAATTGAAAGTTTAAAATTGTTTAATTTAAAAATTCTTTAATTTAAAATTCCTTAAATTTGAAAGAATGTGACCAAAAAAAAAAAAAAAATTGGGCTTTTCCACTGAGGGAATTTTGGGATTGGCAGAGTTTATCCCGCCACCATTCCCAGGGTTAAGGGGTTCCTGAGATGCTCCGGGGTGGAAAAAAATGTGGAAGTGGCAAAGGTCTCCGAGCTTCCCTGAGGAAATTCCCACCTGGATCCCTCCCTGTCAATCTCCCTTCTCTGGATTTGAAATTTGAAATTCTTTAATTTAAAATTCTTTAAATTGGAAAGAACATGACAAAAAAAAAAAAATTGGGCTTTTCCATGGAAAGGGGAGGGGAAAAAAAATGGGATTTCAGTTAAAACAGCAACTCCTTTGAAAAAAAAAAAAAAAAGGAGAAAGGAAAACATCCAACGATCCCAGCAGGTCCCATCCAGTGTTTTTTTGGCATTTTCCAGCCCCT